CAAATGCTCTAAAAACCAAAACAAACAAAGTTTAATTTGTCCTTTACCAATTTTTTGCAGACCTGTGCACCGAAAAAAAAACTTTGTCTGGCAGTCTTGTCAACAAATCCAAAATGGTGTACGCAATTAAATGTCTTAACAAGCCAGATAATTTTGATGGATGGTGCATTTATGGCAACGCATCTCTATGGGACGGGAATTCAGAGCAAAGGAGACCACTTTATTGGTGAAAATTTTTTACGACTTTTAAGGGAAGAGATTGCATCCCGCACTCAAAAGCATTGGCTTAAGATCCGTCTGTTTTAATCACACCTCAGAATTCGTCTTGAACGGTGAGGCGTTCGGAGCAAGGGGCACATTTGGCAATGTAGTTGTAGTAGTACAAATTGCTGATGCTATCCTAGCCAATCTGTATGCGCTTGTGGGTGACTCAGACCACGACAACAATGGAGTTTCAATTGGTCCTTTTGAAGGCGCATCAACCCTAGACAAGCCTCAATGTAGCTTATGGTGTTTGCAGTTTAAAAATGAGCTTAATAATCAACAGCAACCCACCAAACACGATGGGGCTTGGGAAGAATACGAATTGTTGAATCACCGAAGTGCCAAGTACAGAGTCAATACCATCCAGCTGAAGTCCAGATGCAGAGCTCCTTGTGGTCCACCCGCAAAATTGCAAGTTATAAAAACACTCAAAATACTAAACTTGCAATACTGATTGCGTTGGTTCGGCAAAAAAGTAGAAAAATGCCCTTTAAAATATGCTTATACAAGCTTACCGGAGTACGTCCAATTTTGGTCATAAACAGAGATTTAGATCACGGAAGTCGCTGTCCAAGTTTGTTGTTTAATTGTCCCTCCACCCTTTTATGCCGACTCGTCAGCACCACTTTTCGACGCCATTGGAGACACTGTTGATTTCATTCGGGGAGTACCAAACGAACGTTCTGCGTAGCTGTAATTGTTGGTGGCATCTTGTCCGACTGGCGTGTTTTACCCTCAATGAAGCATTCTAATACATTCATTGTCTGTCCGGCTTCGAAGTACTGGAAGCAGTATAGGTTCTGAGGAAGGGGAATCTGTAATTAACGAAAAGAAAAGGAGAAACCTAACGAAAAGTAAAACATATCTTCGACACCTACCTCGGCCTCATGTTTCACTGCATTGCCATTGACAACCACAGCTGTGATGTGGAGGTGTGGACATTCACCACCTCATTCAACTTCCTACTAATTGAATAGAGTACAAATGGTCAAAATAGCTTTACATTAGGATACAGAGGCGGTACCTTATTGCCCTGAAATTTATCATTCTTTTATTTCTTGTTGACTGATTGACCTTATGTCACTAACTTCATAAGTGACATTGCATATTTTCCTTTCGCCTTGACCCATAGCCAGTAGAATTGCCAAGAGGCATCATAGCAGCCGATGGAAGTATTTTTCTTACAGCACTAACTGTACTGGGATGGGAGACACTGACGTTGCACAAAAGGAGAGCTGAAGGTAGCGAATGAAAGGGAGAAGGGTACAGCACTGCGCCGACTATTTGTCTAACTCTCTAATTTGCTTAAAAGAGGGCTTAAACCATGGCCCTCAGGTCCTCTGCATGTCAAAAGAATACTCTCCGTTCTGAACATAACCGCTGGTTGAAGTGCTTTGTTAGGCGAGTGATATCAGACCCTTAGAGCCTCTTGATTTGAAAGTGCAGACACGAAGACAGCCTTATTGTTAAGCAACAGGATACACAGGCTGCATGCAAAGACAAAGATTTAATCTTATGTTTCTAGCAATTTAATTGGAAGAAATGTTTTATTAAAGCAAAATTAATTGACTGCTCTGATGCTGGCAAAAATCCGAATGTGGTAATGCCACACAGAGAAGACATTTTCCAAGGCTTTGTGGGTGTTGACCGACTTTGAATAACTCCTTAGGAGGATATAAGTGATGGTGCTTGGAGGCATTAGGTAGCCAGATCAGTGCGTTTGCTAGGTCTTGGTTGCAAATGACAACTATTTGCTTCTCCCACCGAAAAAATGGCTTGCCATGATTGTCCTCAACGACTTGGGCTTTGAATAGACGTACCACACGCAAACCAAATAGCGACAGGAGTGGGTTCTGAGCCCGTTAATGGAGAAAAAAACGTCATTAGCACGAGTGGCGATGGCACAATTGTGATGGCTTTGTTTGTCGTAGGCTTCTTTCCTACTTGATTGTCAATTTGACTAGTGCCGACTAAAAAGGACTCATAAACCGGTAGCTGGTAGGATGAAATATTTGGCAATCTACAGTGCTGCCACAATAGCATTCCCCTTTAACGCCCCAAAAAAAACAAAGGAAAAGTTCGAAATAGGCATAAAAGGCTGGACAGAATGAGACTAACTTTCCCAAAACTATTTAAAACAAATTTACTGGGGGAATCCTATACTTAGACGTTTTCTTTGGATAGTACGCCTGTAAAAATATGGCGGGAACGATCCGGTTTAACTCCCTTGAAAAATGGTTGTAAAATCCCCTTACGAAGTGTTTACAGCGGTTTGAGGCGTCAATCGAAACGCTCCACTCTCTCCACCTCTCAAAGGCTCAAGTCGTTTCACCGTTAGGAAGCAAGTGGACAGTTAAGCTTGCCTCGACAAAACTCAAGCTCGCCGAAGAGCGTACCCAAACGCCTTCACCCTTTCCTCATGGTTGATATACTAGACTGGCCAACATATTGATACTTAATAGAGAGAAGTCAACTACAATTAAGGGACAAAGAGGAGTAAAAGTGAACCTCCCTGCCTCTTTTGCCTTCAAAAATGTGCTCTAGCTTGTCCAACGGAAAGGAATCACGACCTCAGATCTTAATTTGTCAACAAATAGGTGAAAGTACCAGTGGCAGGCGACCCCCCAGACTTTGAACATAACCGCTTCAACATACATCATATTAATCATTAATAATTCACTGCAGCTATGACAATAAATGCCAAAGTATTCACGGTAGCTCAAAGTCATAATTTTGCTCTGCAAATCGTTAAAGCTTCATACTTAGCTGTATAAAATAACCCTGCTGGAGACACATTACCTGAATTCCTTCATTTCTTGCTCCTCTGATAATGAACTGAAATAAAATTCCACAAGAGTAGACATTTTATACCCCAATTCAAGCTATGCTGGTTGCTAATCTCTTGACAGGCATGCACAACAAGAGCTAATACATCCCTTGCTTCTCCAATTGCAGGATGTCTTCAAAGTGCTCAAGTGAGCCGTCAACATGTTCCGATCCATATTGCTGCGTAGCAAATATTTGTAGTTAAAATTTGGAATTGAAGACTGTTTGGGGGAAGCAGAGCTACATAGAAAGATACAGACATCTACACACAGTGGTTGAGGATGAGATGAAAGAGAATGGTTAACCTATACTTTGCGCACAGATTTTTCCTTAATCAACTATCAAGCATCAACACAAAAAGCCTTGAAAGGAGAAAAAATCGAGACAAGTCCAAATACATGAGCGAACCTTATAAAAGAAACAAAGATACAAAAATTGGAACAAATTTTACCCCACGTTGTGGAGTTTTGGACGGACCTGTTGTGAACACTGTTGGCGCCTCAATATTTCATCCCCAAAAGGACTTCTACTATTGAATAAAAACAATTATAGGCTCATTCTGTTGCATTCGCTAAAATAAATTCAATGATGAAATACTAGCTCCTAACAATGAAACCACACTTTTCACGACAGAAAGAGCAGAGACGTTCGTCCCGACCCCATAACACTAAAGTAACGTCGAAAAGAATATTTTGTTAATTTTTTCCTTTGACCTTGTGTCAGAAGCCCAATCCAACAATGCAGAAAAGCAGCCTACAGGAGCATCAAAGCAATAAGAAACAAATTGAGGAGTTCTGCAGTAACTAAGATATAATCCTTTATTCTCATCACTTTTACATACCTTAAGATCTTGCACATAGAAAACTAATTATACTGATTACTTTCCAAACAATCTGTAGAAATAGAGTCTCTTCAGCACAATATGGGCACAAGTGAGGTAGAAAAAGCCAAAAACCACGACGAAAACAAAGCAATCGATGATGCGACGCTTCGACAGTTGTCCGCCTAGTCTTGCCGAAACCTTCAACTGCCCACCCATCTCCTTTAGTTCGCGCAAATTGCCCTCCACTTGGTTTGACGAATCGTCTACCAACTCAGCATTGGCGTTGCCGCGAGCTACCTCCTCGGCTAGCCGACGAGCGTGGAGGCGCATATCGGCGGTGAGTTGAAGGGAGGCCTCCAACTGGTCGCGAAAGTCAGGAGTGCTACCAAGGTATTGACGACGAGAGGGGTTGGAGAGGAGAGCGCTGCGCTCAGAGATCTCAAGACTCTTACTAGTAGTATAGATGGCTTTCCTATATAACTCCTAAGTAGTTTGTAGAAAAAAATCAGTATTCACAGATGTCATAATGTTAGGAAAACAAGTAATATTTCCATTCAACATTGAATACTAACACGCAGACGAAAATATATGAAGGAAACCAGTACTGGCGATCATGAACCAACCACACAGTGGGCCTAAGGAAGCAACTAGCAGATGACATCACATGCATGGATTGAAGTCCATTCTTTTCGAGGAGCACAAATTAAAGTGTTGGAAAACCAAGCCAACTCTAGGAAAGGCAGGATGCGAAGATGCATGGAAAAAAGGTCAAAATAAACTTAAATAGATCAATAAATCAACTCAGTATACTCGACACCAGAAATGCTACAAATGCCAATGGAGCAATGCAAGCTAAGAACCCCACCTACCAAGAATGACGTATACTGATTCTGGATGGCTTCAATTTTCTTTCGGTTCTCAGATGTCGAGGTCAGATTAAGCGTTTGGTCTAGTTTCCCTATGAATGATTTTAGGGCTGACAAGCGCCTTCGAGCGTCTGATTGAAGAGCATCAAAACGCCTCCGCTTTTCAATAAGATCAGTCGGCTCATCCTTTATGGACAGGATAGATGTAACGACATCCTGAATGGCTGTGCATTCATCAACACACCTTTGATATAGAAGCCGCGTTGACATTTGCAGGTTAAAACATTTAAAAATTAATCCGCTAAAATAGTGAAGTACCTTAAGGTCTTTTGACAGTCAAAAACACTATTATGATGCATTTTATTCTAATTGTGATTATTTCAGACAGCAAAACCAATTAAAATAACTCACAGGAATTATTAAAATTAGATATTCTATTATATCCAAACACGAGGACTAATACTGATAGTTAGTTAGACTTTCCAAGGGGTTGAAAAATTGTTAATCCTGAATCGCTTACAAGTGAATATACGTTGATTAACACTATACTTGTATAACTGTTGTTAAGTTTCTTGTAATAGTATAAACTGGATCGTTGCGGTCGATAGAATAACACCCTTACAAGTTTAAGGCTTTAACAAGCGTAGCTCCGGCATTTTGTCATGTCTTAAATGCATGGGCTAGGCTTCCAGTCAAACCCATACCCAATCCCTTATCTTTCTATAAAACATGGGTTCGTCCCAACCAAAAGTTTCCTTCTACCTCGTGTTAAGTTCCGGGCTCTACATGGGGGTTAATGCTCATGTCCCCGGATTAGTAGTTAACCGATGTCCGCCAACAAACCACGTATTCCCTGCTCTACAAAAATTAGGACCAACTTATTGTAAAACATATGGGACTTGGCAATAAAAACGTAGGGCATAAGAATTAGAGTCATGATCTGGCTCAAAGGTCAGCTCACAGGTCAGAAGCGGAATAACTGTTACAGTGATCGCTACTCACAAAGGTTCCTATTTTACACAGGGCTAACAACCCTGTCTGTGATTTAAAAATCTCCACTAATGGATCCCACTATACAGTGAATCGCTTTGCCGACTCCAACCTCTATGATTCACTCAGTCGCACTATTTCCGGACTGTCGTCCTATTTGGAGGTTGTAGCTGCAAAAAGAAAGTAAACGACCTCCATATTGTCCAATGTTAGCATTAAATGATGCTCTGCAACGAGGACATCACATAGGCCAGGTTTTAGTCTTATTAGAATTAACCACAGTATTTATTAATTACATGCTCTTTTATTGCCATTTTAGTGTTACTCCGCCAACTATCTACCTACCTATCTATTTATTTACCTACATAAGTATCAGCTAGACAGTTGGGAGGCTGGAGCGAATTCTCCCGTTCACTTAGCTAAAATCGGTACATAGATGCGGTGAACAGACTTATATTTATAGAATGATACAAACTTGATCTTGGCCAAATTGCTGGTAGTGTTCTCGTTAAAATCGGGAGGTGAAAATTTTCAGGGTTCCATCTTGGAACCATTATTAACCTATAAGATTTAGGCTGATTTTTCGCCTTAACCTTGTCAGAGCATAATATTCAAGCTTAGAGGTAGGGACAATTGTACCTTTGGATCGTACCTTCTTACCCTTAGCACAAATTGCAACATGTTAAAGGATGATGAGACGGGTGCCATGTTTATTGTAAAGGGTCGGAAGACGGCAGGCATGGCTGGAATGAAATGCTGCGAATGCAAGCACAGCATGCTGATGTCGGCGTGCTCGTGCATTCAAGTAGAAGTTTAACGTCTTATACAAGCCTATTTGTAAGGAAGTTAAAGTGTTTGAACATTTGACAATTATTTTTTGATTTCAATACTGATTTAATGCCAGTGATGATAAGTGCCACCTCTGGCTAAAATAGTTTCCATTAAAAATTGCAAGTATACACATTTTTAGTAAATATTTATACATAAATTTTAAGAGTTGAAAGTTAATTTTAATTGGTTTGCTTATTGACCATGTTTCAAATGCAATGTGCCTCCTGTCTATACGTCCCGCCTTTGGAAATTTGTTCCTGTATGGGCAGTCAACTGGGTGCACTTCTGGTGCCTTCGTTACTCCTTTGGTGAGTGGACGGAATCCAGACAGACAAGTGTGGCTGGAAAACATTGAAGTGGGACCAAAGTAGCGCGGGTAAAACCGATGGAATTTCTTATCCACATAAAACCATTTTCAACTCCGTTTCTCGTCGGGTGATCCCTTATTTGGGGCTGTGATCTCATGGTCATCGATGGGCATACAGAATGGCCAGCACATTCTCTCCTCCACCAACCTAGTTCCTAAACGAGCCGAAATTTTAAATCCAGTGGAACTGATGTCAAGATAAGATATTCTCTCGGTTGGACGCAGTTCAGCTAGCGACGTGGTTTATTAGAAAGTGTAATTTCTTAATGACAGCGGCAAAGGATGTTTGTCGTGGTGGGCAGTGAAGGCAAGGCAAAAAACACTGATGACTTATTCTTTGGTACATGCGTATGTATTGGTTACAAAAAGGGCAGCTCATGCCAATAATAAGAGACTTAAGTAGCAGTGTTAGCAGTGATATCCATTAGTAGCCATTAGGGCAATCGGCGCGATGAGAAGTTGGGGCAAAATCACTTCCTCTGTAGGCAAACACTTGAAGGGTACATTTAACTGAGGATATAGTTTCTAAGGTCAAAACATAGGCAAGCAAGGACAAATTCTGTTCTCCATCTTGGCTTCTGCATAAAAATGAGGAGAAGTTTCGTGTCCTTAGGTAATAAAACAAGTTAGGAAGTTCAAAAAATTCCAACTAACGAGCTAAAATCCCATCAAACTTGATTGTGTTATGGACAGCATATGATGTAAACTGAATGAGAATTACCACTAAGGCGTAAAATAAGGGTTATGCATGGAACAATAAACCTTAAATGCATATTTGGTTTTGCTAAAAGACGGCTGTTTGTGTTACACACGTACCGAAGCGTAGATGGCACTCAAAACGTAAAACGCCTTTCAAATTCGATGCACTCTTTTTAGCCTCACCTGGCTTGCAAATCGGCATTACATAGCCTCAAAAAAAAAACTACAGGAGTTAGACTCGACTGCAATTTACCCCAGCGCATTTGGAGAAGGCGCATTATGGTGTGTGGTGGCAAAATCCAGCATTTAGAATAGACGGTAGCCTTAATTGTGGTAGCGATCCTCTTTGGATAGAGACGAATCATGTCGGACAGGATCATTTTATATTAACACTTCAAAAAACAATGTGAAATATTTTTAAACATTGTTAAAGTGAGAGAACTGTGGAGAGTAGAGAAGCCTGGGAAACACACAATGCACTTGGAAGTTCAAACTGCTACATTACCTACTTCAAACCATGTGCCTACTATTTAAGAGGTACGCTGAAGTTTCCTCCAGACTTCTTTTGCGTTTGATTCCGAAAAGCATGACTATAATAGTTACTTACTAAAACTTCCTCTATGACTGGCAATCACGTTAATTTCCACCTTGCTCTAGGAAGCGTGGGCCGGTCTGTGGGTCATGCTAAACCTCAACGCCTTGGATAAAAGCGTACAACAATACTTAGTACTTTTTTCCACTTAAAGGGAGGTCTCAGAACGTTACAATGACTATGTCATCGGACGAAAATTTGTCTTAAGCTATTGTTGGCACTTCAGGAGGGATCGAATGGACTGTGATGAGAGAGGAATGCTACTTAATTTTATCCCTTGGTTCTCTTGAAAATTTATACAAATCTTGGTATTCACTCCTTTTTAGTGCTAATATCAAATGATCACATGACTACGCACAAAATGGCATCATCTACCTAGTGGATAATGCACTTCAGGAAACAGCAGTGGATTGCAAAACTTCAAATTGTCTAACAAAAAGGTTCGAAAACAACATTTTCTTGAATGGGAATCCTAAGTACGCATTTTGAAACGCCTGATTTTGTTAGAATTTACCGGCCTCTCCTTATTTGGTCACTTTAGTCACTACCGGAGGATTTGAACTCGTGGAGAATTAACGCTACTAAGCTCAGCATAATCCCACTATAGCCTTTCTGACATGTAGTTTGGTGTTTCTTTAGTTTATGCAGCAAACTACTGATGCCATCAAAGCCTTCTTCTATGATGAGATGGGGCGTCATTTTTTGCAACAATTGTACCACATTTCACGTCTTCGTTTTGTCTTTGTCCTAGTTATACAGAATTAATTACAATGTAGTATCAGATATCACACTTCCAATATCCTTCGTAATTACCACAGAGGTTTTGCTACTGCATCAAGCAGATTTGCGGCTAGTCGCAGTGGTTGCTAGATGAATAATTTACGGAAGAATTCAGCAAAACTACCCACTGTTGCAGCTGACAGCATGTCATACCAATGTGGAGATGAAGGTTGCATCGACGTAGAGAAGAACTAAGCTTATAGCCACGAGTGAAGGTGGGCAAACAAGCTCGCATTGCGAAATCTACACTTTTAAGCTGAAGTGAAATCGCTAACAAAGTGGTTGACTGTGTATTAAAGTGTCCGCACAAATGAATGTCACTTTGCTATAAAATCACCTTAAAAGTTATCTCTGGGCATTTTGGAGTACTAAAGCTTCTTGCTTGACGCATTTGCGATTGATTATTGATGTTTAAATGACCTGAGAGCATAAGGTCATGTTTTTAAGGTCACTCTATCAAGAAGTAAAAGAAATTACATATGATACTTACGTCGAACACAATTAAAAACGCATAGCACGTCAGTGAAATGCCATCAAAGGTCACCATGTAATTAAATTTGCCAAAAGCTTTGGCTTGAGAAAAAAGTTATTACAGATCTAGCACTCATAGGTATACTTCCGACCGAGCACATTTCAAATTGCCCCGATAATTCTTCATCAGCAAAATTAATTTCACTGCATTTGAAAATTACAACGCACTTAATCCCGGCTTTACTCCGTACGACGTTACAATCTCTGTCTTTGTCGTGGCAAAAGTTTCACTTAGGCATGTCTCGCACAACTCACTGGGTTCAAAATAACCTCATGATTGCAATGAAATGACATCTCCAAATGAGTTAAATCTCCCATTCGCAAGTTGTATGCTAAAATATTTGACAAAAGGGGCACTTATGCGTCATCAGCGAAATTATACAACTCGTTTTTGCAGTAATTTTTTGCCTGCAAGAGATCATTTCTCTGCGCGTGCCATTTCTGCTCATTTTAAATTGGAATGATGAGAGAAGGAGGACA